TTCATTTGTAAAGCGTCCACGTCCTAGTAAAACCTTGGCATTTGAGGCGTGTGCCATGCCATTGGCTGGAAATGGGGCCGCACTCTTGCGCCTGTTGCTGGAATTCATAGCTGGGTCTGCTCCACAAGGTGTTGGCGCCTGTCAGGGGGCGAGAGCTACACAGAGTGCCGTGGAGAAGCCCTGCTTAAACAGGGTCACATCTGTGGGCTTGTGTGGAGGCTATATGGCCTTGGGCCTGGTATCAGATGGGAAACTTTTCCTCCCCTTCCAAACCTCACCACCCCCTTTACACACACACACACACAAACACACACAGAAAGTAGCAGTGGGGTAATGCTCCTTTGGGGTACCTCTTACCAGGGGAACAGGGATTGAGCCTCTGGAGATGGCCTGGCTTTTGCTTGGCCTTCTTTGGGAAGATTGTCCTGGATTGGTTGGGCCTTGGGACTAGAAGCTTTTATGATAGACAGGGGTTGTTTTTCCTTCCATATAACTCTCAGTTATTCATCTGCAAGCCATAGATGAGGTACTCATTGCCCTTGAGAAGAGGAGATGGGCCTGAGGTGGAGAGGGTAAAGGGGTGGGACTCAGCTTGTCAGGGACAGATGCCAGCCACTGAGGGTTGGTCAGGCTGGAGCCGCGTTGGGAGACTGGAAGGGGAAGGGCGCTGGCCCGGCCCGGTGCAGAGCTGCATATCGGGCCCGAGCAGTGTGCTCACGGGGTGCCTCCTAGCTCAGCAGTCTCATGCCTTACTCTTTGCTGCCCGAACCCCCTCAAGGTCCTGCCTCTCTGAGCTCCATTTTGGGATAAAGCAAAGATGTTAAGTAAGGGTCAGAGGTCCAGGGTGCAGTGTCTGGGAGGAGGCCAGGAGGCCTCTGCAGGAGAACCTGGTCTCAGATGGCCTCAAGCTCTGAGTTGATGCAGGTTGTGTACCCTGTTCTGGGCACCAGCCTCATCAGGAATTCCCAGAACTGCGTCTTGTGGCGATGAGGCTCCGGTGAAGTCTGTCCCCACAGCAACAAACCCAGATGCTCTACTTCCTGCTTTGCATGGGCAGCTGTTCGGAGAGGTCTCAGGAGCTCCAGCCTCGTGTCCCGGATCCTGGCAGTCAGGGATGCCTTGAGCCGAAGGGCTCCTTGTCACTTTCTTGTCCAGCTCTCTCCTCTGACAGAGGAGGACTCTGAGGTGCAGGGCACCTTGGGGGCTTGGTTTCACCAATGCAGGAGAGAAGTGACACGGAACGCAGAGCTCCCTGACCTGCTCTTCACTGCCTGGGCCGGGGTGAGGGGCATCTCTGCAGCCTGCTCTCTGCTGTGAGGAACATCAGTATCTGCTTACACTTAGGTCAGGAGAGCCATCCGGTAGTGACTCGGTCAATGACCTGCTTGAAGAATCATCAGCTCCTGCATAACGTGGGATTCAGCCCCTCGGAAGGGAGATCTGAGTCTCAGCTCCCTTCCTGAAACTGATGGGCGGAAACGTCCAAGTCATAGGATTTTCTGTGAGGATAAATTAAACTGTTGCTGCAGAAGTGCCTAAAACGTGCCCAGAGCCTCGTCAGCACACCATCGATACGCCCTGGACGTGAATTGGAATTACTTGGGACCGAGGCGTGCATTGCGGGCTTGCTTGTCCGACCGCCCTTGCTCCCTGGAAAACCCAGCGAAGAGTGCAGGAAAGGACTGCAGATCCTCCCGAGAGCCCAAAGAAAGTATGGGAGTGAGCAGGGTACATTTCTGGAAAAAGATATAAAATGCGCAGGGTGTGTTCCCAGATCCATCAGGGCCTGCAGCTCCCCACCATGGGGAATGAACAACCCCCCTGTTCTTTTGCCATAATCAAGAGCTCATCAGGCTTGTGCTGTTTTTCTGTTCTCTGAGTGATGACATTTATAGGCAATGTCATTGTCATTCCTGTTGTCTTCTGCGGCATCTGAATCAACCTCCCTTTATGAGGGAGCAGAGGCACCTGTGACTATCCTCCTTAGCATGCAGATGAGGAAACTGAGGCAGAGATTGGCTCCTTGAGAAAACCCGCCTGAGAGCACAGTGAGTCAGAGCACTTCAGTTGGATTCTTTGGATTCTGGTCCGGCTGCAGAGTTTGCTGTTTGTCAGGAGAGAGAATATCTACCCTTGAACCCCACCCCCTTAGCAAGGCATGGAGTAAGATTGATAGAATGTAAATGACATGTATAAAACCCGGGTTCCCAGTGGGAAAACCTCCCAGTGCCCCATGCTGAGCTGCCCCCCAGGCTGTCGGGTAAAGATGGAGGTGTTGTGGTCTTTACCTTCAAGGAGCTGACTGTGGGACGGGCAAAACAGGGCGGTACCCTTGAACCCCACATGGAGACTGCCTGGGTTTAAATCTCTATGCCTTCTTATCACAGCCTTCGGCCAGTTATTCAAATTCCTCATGATTCCTCTTCTTCATCGGTGACACAGGGACGACAGTGGTGTCGGTGGGGTGGGTTGAGATGGTGCCTGGCACTGAGCCAGCCCTCTGTAATCATCAGCGCCTGTCCCTCTCTGGACAGGAAGACCTAAGAGTAGTCAGGTAGCATTGTAGGGGGCAGGGGGCGTTAGGCTGCCTGAGGTGGGATCCCTGTTCTATCCCTTTCCGGCTGGCAGAGTGCCAAAGCTCAGACTTCTTCCTAGGTTGCTGTGAGGGTAACAGGAGATGATCTGAGGGAGACAGTGCATAGAGTAAGTGCAAGATGATTGTTAGTGACGAGTATTAATTGGATGCATAGAAAGTGTCTCACAATCCAGCCCAGGGGGCCAGAAGTGCTGGAGAAGAGAGGCAGACAAAGCACCGGGAGCCCAAAGAGGGAGAGCATTTCAAGGTGGCAAGAGAAGGGGGCATGGCGGAGAGGATGGGGAATAGGGAGGCGAATAGGATGGTTGAAAGAAAAGGATATTCCCCACAGAAGGAGGAGTGCCCAGAAACAGACCCCCCCCTCCCCATGCCCAGTCGGTGCATGAGCCGCTCTGCTCTTGTTGCTGGAGGCTGGGGCAGGTGCATGGGGCACAGGGCATGGGGCACGGGCCAGAATGGTCAGCCAGGATCCGTTTGCAGCAAGGCTGGAATGCTGGGCCAGAGAGTTCGGACCTGAGATCATAGATTGTGGGATTCAGCACCACCAGAACCTGGCTTTAGGGAGCTCACCCTGAGCAGAATGGATTTCTGGGGACCAGGAGAAACAGGGGTGGAGGGTCGGGGTGGGATGAGAGAGATGAGCAGGCCAGTGGGAAGGGAAGGAAGGAGGCCTGAGGGAAAGAGGGCCATCATGAAGGCAGTAAGAGCTGTTGTCTCCTTATTGGGCAACCCTTTGGGTGAAGCAAGGAGGAAGATGGCCAAAGGGACAGGCCTGGGGTTAAGACAGCCAGGAACAAAAGGCTGACTGAGGAGCAGCTGTGGGCAAGGAGGTAGGATCGGTTTGACCTTGTCCAGCGTCAGGGGCATCCAGATGGGGACACTCTAGAGGCAGCTCAGGACTGAGAGGAGGTGGAGATCTGAGAGCCTAGAGGAGTTGGTAGTCAGGAGAAGGAAACAGGTTTAGAGGGAAAGATGAAGATCAAAATCCCATTTACAAGATAAACCTCTGCCTCATTCATTTCAACATAGAGTCAAGCCAACCCGAACTCCAGAGGGTCCAAATCATTCTGAGAGAGGATTGGTCCCGTGTGCCAGTTTAGGATCAGTGAAAATGAGTGTGTCAACCCCAAACAATTTCCTGGTGCTGTTACGTGTGTTTCTGTGTCACCACATGTCTTCCCACAGATGGTAACACATTTGGGGATTCAGAGTCATTTCAGTATCATCCTTAAAAAGCCAGATTTGGGAAGGTAAATCTGTTTCTCAAAGCCAAAAATAATTCTCCGAGCCCTTGTCCCTCCCCATCCCCACCCCCACCCATCCATGCAGGTGATGGGGAGATGTGTCCGCGGTGTGGTTCAGAGTCTGCTGGGGGAAGGGATGAGGCAGCCCAGGGCTGGAGTGGAGCCGGGTGAAAGGGGCTGGCATGGGAAAGAGTATTGTTACATAACCCGAGGGAGCTATGGATGGTGGGCAGATGGAGATGGGAGGCGAGGAATCTGGAGATGGCAGAGTGTGGATCAGCTTCCTCTGGGAGGGAGAGGGACAGCACGGAAGGCAGGTGAACCAAGAGCCCAAGACCCGCTTTACAAGGTGGTGAAGGAGCCCTGCCCAGCCTCACAGCCTCCCCCACATTTTTCTGTCCTGGCTCTGAGGGGCACGGATGGATGCTAAGTTGCCAGCTGGCCCAGAGAGTAGCACACCAGGGACTGCCTTCTCCATGGGACTCGGGGGAAAGAACCGTACCAAGCTCTGGGCCTACCATCTTCACCCGCCATCTAGGAGAACTTCCCAGACATAGGCAGGCCCAGCCTCCCACCTCACCAATGAGGAGTAGAAAGAATATGTTTACCTGATCTCCCTCACCCACTCCCCCATTCCTGATTACCCTGGTGGGTGAAGAGTGAAATAAAAATTAGCATGTTTATCCCACTTTTAAATTTGTTTAATGAGAACTCATTTACCCTCTCCCAATTTAAATTCGTAATAACGCCATAACCTTTCAGAGCTGATTATTACCCGCACCTTCCCAGATCTTCCTACCAAAGAGGCTTTCCCTCCAAATGCTCCTGAGCCTTCCTGGAACTTGACAGTTTGTTGGGCGGTCAGCAACATCTGGCAAGCCCACACGGCTGCACTGGCCTGGCCCAGGTGCTCTCTCTAGGAGGGGAGGGAAAAAGAATCAAGTCCCCTCCCTTGGGTAGTGCCTTGGGTTCCACTGATCTGCCATCAGGACTTTGGCTGTCTCTCACTCAGCGCTGACCCCGCCCCACGTCCCATTTCCTCCCGGGGCGGGGAGGCAATCGCAGGCTCACAGGCTCCTCTGCTCTCTCCTCCTGTCTTGCAGGGACCGCGGGACTGACTCCAAGCTGGTGTGCCAAGCCTCCGAGCAGCAGCGGCTGGCCCGAGAGCTGGAGTCGTCACCATGGCGGCGGGCGTGGCGGCCTGGCTGCCCTTCGCGCGGGCGGCGGCCATCGGGTGGATGCCGGTGGCCAACTGCCCCATGCCCCTCGCCCCCGCGGACAAGAACAAGCGGCAGGATGAGCTGATCGTCCTTAACGTGAGCGGCCGGAGGTTCCAGACCTGGCGGACCACGCTGGAGCGCTACCCGGACACGCTGCTGGGCAGCACGGAGAAGGAGTTCTTCTTCAACGAGGACACCAAGGAGTACTTCTTCGACAGGGACCCCGAAGTGTTCCGCTGCGTGCTCAACTTCTACCGCACGGGGAAGCTGCACTACCCGCGCTACGAGTGCATCTCGGCGTACGACGACGAGCTGGCCTTCTACGGCATCCTGCCCGAGATCATCGGCGACTGCTGCTACGAGGAGTACAAGGACCGCAAGCGGGAGAACGCCGAGCGCCTCATGGACGACAACGACTCGGAGAACAACCAGGAGTCCATGCCGTCGCTCAGCTTCCGCCAGACCATGTGGCGCGCCTTCGAGAACCCGCACACCAGCACGCTGGCCTTGGTCTTCTACTACGTGACTGGCTTCTTCATCGCCGTGTCAGTCATCACCAACGTGGTGGAGACGGTGCCGTGCGGCACCGTGCCCGGGAGCAAGGAGCTGCCTTGCGGCGAGCGCTACTCGGTGGCCTTCTTCTGCCTGGACACGGCCTGTGTCATGATCTTCACCGTGGAGTACCTCCTGCGGCTCTTCGCGGCGCCCAGCCGCTACCGCTTCGTCCGCAGCGTCATGAGCATCATCGACGTGGTGGCCATCATGCCCTACTACATCGGCCTGGTCATGACCAACAACGAGGACGTGTCGGGCGCCTTCGTCACGCTCCGCGTCTTCCGCGTCTTCCGCATCTTCAAGTTCTCGCGCCACTCCCAGGGCTTGCGGATCCTGGGCTACACGCTCAAGAGCTGCGCTTCCGAGCTCGGCTTCCTCCTCTTCTCCCTCACCATGGCCATCATCATTTTTGCCACTGTGATGTTTTACGCCGAGAAGGGCTCCTCGGCCAGCAAGTTCACGAGCATCCCCGCCTCGTTTTGGTACACCATTGTCACCATGACCACGCTGGGGTGAGTCCGCGTTGGTGGCGGGTTGGGCGGAAGGTTAAGTGGAAGGGAAACTTGGCCCGGGAGCGGGATCCGGCAGACAGGGGACGGAGTCGCCTGTCAGGGTCATAGGAGCGAGGGGAGTTGTCTCATCCAACCGAGGAAAGCGCAGGGGTGATTTGGGTGATTCGTCTGGGAACGAGAGCTCGCTCTGGATTGAGTTTTCTTGGGGAGGGGGGCGGCGGCATGCATTTTATAAAACATGGGAAATGAAGACGTTAGTTCTCTTTTCAGCCATGCCTTCCGTGTCTGTGTGTGGGGTGGAGTGAGTCGCGGGTGCTGCATTCTGAAACGCATTTGAGCTTGTAAGGGCAGCAGGTGGGAAGGAAGAAGGGCCGGAGGAGTTCGGGGAGTGCCGTAAGGAGGGTGCACAGTTGCATTAACCAGAACGAACGGAGAGCACTTTCTCTGGATCCTTCCTGCGTTTCTTCTCAGTCGTGTATCTGCAGGCTATCTCTCTTGGGCTTTACTCCCCCCGCCCCCCTGCCCCGCCAGAGATGCTCAAGAGTTCAGTAGCTCTGAGCAGACTTTCTCGAAGTGACTCTGAACTTGGGTTTTCTGCAAAGCAGGGCACCGGACTTACTTTTATTTCCTCACTGAAGGAGGAGTAGCTTTGCTTTCTCGGCCTGACTCTGTGATTGAATGACCCGGCCTACCTGGGCCATTGTGAGATGGTCTGAAGGGATCATGGGTTCAGCCCCCAAAGCAGCAGGACCATCCGGGAGAGGGAGAGGCGCTCAGCAAGGCCATGGGTGACTCCATCTCTTCCGCCTCCCCGAGGTCCCTTTTCTAGCTGTGGTCACAGAAATGTATTTATGGGGCTGGCCTGCAAAGCTTTCTATCCGAGGAAGGGGCTCAGGAAGGAGATTGCAATCTTCCCCCCTAACAGGATTAGAGCCAATGGAGGCAACTTTATGGAGACATGTATTTTTTAAGGGTTTCTGCTTTGGCCGTTGGAAGTCATTGAGGCTAATGCAAAAATCCCTTTACAATTCATATGCTGGGTCTGTATTTGCTTAGGATGGGAAGCATTATATTGCTGATGGAGAGTTCATGAAGCTTTTTATTTGGTCTTTGACAATTTGGTTGGTAGCGTCCTGGTGATTCGATTTTTTTTCCTGGCTGACACCCCGCGGCGCTGGTGTCGGTTTTTCCATAGTGCTGTGTGTGCTTATTGGGAATGACTGAGCAGGTGAGGGGACCTCTTAAAATGATTACATTTGTCATTGTGCCACACGAGAGGGGGGCGCGAGGGGTGTCACTGTCCATTTGTGGAGGCTACATTGAATGGGGGCATGCCATTTCCCTCTTGTCTGTCTGACACAGGCCATCCTGCCCCTTCCTCTCTCTCCGACACACACACAGTTCTTCGAACAGCCACTCACAGCCGGGGTTGGTAGGAATATCTGGTTGTTTTACCTTGTCTCTTAGCACAGTAGGATATTTAAGGATAAAATGGCCTGCTCACCATGTCAGGAGAAGACGCAGCTTTGCCCTTTGGAGACTGACCCTAACCGTCCTTTCATACTTTCCTAAAAGGGACACCCCCCCCCTCCAAAGTCCAGGATCTCCCTGGCCCCAGTCCTGACGTGGCTATGACTATTCATTGCCCTATGTGTCCTTTGATGGGACTTATGACACTAGAGTGATGCCTCAGGACTGCCATGGGGACAAAACAGGGCAGATGGATGGATGTCAGAGTTAAAGTGCGATCGTTTCAGAGGAGATCGATGGAAACTTCGGAGACCACCTGCCTTTTACTTTTTATTATTAGTATAACAGCATATGTGTGTCTACTGTGTGTCAGCGGTGCACTAAGCACTTTGCATATATTATCCCTCTGAGTCTTTACGACAGCCCTGCAAGGTAGGAAAAACGCCATCCAACTTCACAGATGCAGCAGGCGAGGCCCAGAGAGGTCAAGTAGATTGTTGTCGTCATACAGCTGATCAGGGGCAGAGCTGATTTTCCAATGCCAGTCTGGCTGTCTCCAGCGCCCATTCCCTGTTCACGTGCCAACCCGCTTGTCCATATACCGTTCGGGGTCGTGGGTGGAAAGCAGACCTCCAGGGTTACTTCTTTTACATTATGGCCTCGGGGGTTAGTTCATTCAAAGCGTGTTGCTCTTGAACAGGAGCACAGTGAGTACCACAGCCACTGCCTTAGGCACGCACACAGGGAATTTGTAAATGAAACATTTTCATCTTGCCAGTTCAAATGCTGCCTTGGAAATCAATGACTGCATTCCTGGCAAAATCCACTGTTTCCCTGTCGCTAGGGAGGCCACTGATTTCCTTTAGCATCCGCCCCATAGGTCAAGGGGTGAGTCCAGTGTCAGGGGACGGACAATCTTGGCCTGTATTTACTTTCAGGGGGCAGGAAGGGGATGGCTGGGAGTGAAGATGAAAGGGGAAAAGGGAGAAGCGTGTTTCCCTGATGGCCCTGTGGACTCCTCGCCTTGCTCTTCCCATGCCTCCAAACATCTGGTCTCTAGGAGGTATAAGAATGAGCAGGAAAAGAAGCCTTCCTTCTGTAGTGTTTTCCTTAACCTCGGATAAGTAATGGGACAGCAGGCTTTTTCTTCCCATCTGCCCCGGCTGGTGTGGTCAAATGCTGGATTGGGCTACTACGACTTCTTCTTGAGTTGGCAAATGGAACCATCGCCAGGATCGCTGTCTGGTTATACATAGAGGATACTTGGCAAAACCTTTTTTAACGGCTTGGTCAATGTGAATGGGGCGCCTTTTCCATTTGCCTGGCCCGATACTGTTCTCAGTCCTTTCCAGACCTGCCCGTCCTCTTTCTAGGGTGGACATAAGATGCGTGCTCTGGCCCAGCCCTGGTCCTGGGGCAGAGGAGGGCAGCCTTCACCTGGCCTCTGGTCCATCCCCTGGGACACTCTGCAGCATTGTGGTGGTGGTAGTAGGGGGTGTGGGGGGGTAGGTGATCTTCTTGTCTGCTTGGAGGTCTTCCCAACTCAACCCTGGAAACGTTTCCCTCTCCCCTGGCTGGCTCCGACCCTGAACATATTCACTGGCTAGTTTCAGGCCTAAACCATCCTCAAGAACCCTTCTTTTTCTTACTCCTTACTGGCATTTGAGACCCCAAGTGGTTGTGGAATACCAGGGGCCAGTATTCTGCCACATTCCACCGTCTGTCCAAGTGCTTCCAACAGGTCCCAACAGACACTTTGTTCTTCCCGTCTTCAGATCCTCCCTGCCCTAATTCTGCCCCAAGTTCTGGTTTCAGTCTGGCAGAAACTGTCTTGGCTCCTTTGCAGAGGAGGGCCAACTGACAGGCCATGGGGCTGGACCGAGGACCGATTTGCTGAGGGGAGTTCATGCTCCCTCGCTCTGGTTCCTAACTCTGTCCTCTTTCCCAGGACTCACTGATGTGTTACTCAGGTGTCCTCCAGGGAGGAATTTCTTGGAACTGATTATTTCTGTTTATTTAATATCTCAAACTACCTTAAGCACACAGAACAATAACGGCCCAACTGCCACCAAGGCTCAAGGATGACTTACCTTTGCAGCCTCCTCGGCTGGTGGGGAAGACCCCCATGGCCAGCTCATGTTTCCCTTATGCTCCCTTGACCGTGAAGCTCCCACATGCACCACGAAAGGATTACTGTTGGTGCTTATAATCGCTGCTATAAATAAAATCCTCAATTATCTCAATTAACAGAGGAAAGGGATAACGCAGAACTCCCAATATTAAATAAGACCAACATACCTAGTTCATGGAGATATTCTATGTTGTAGACCTTTCAAAGCAGATTTTCCTTCTGAATTTTGTTTGACTTTGCTTGGCATCATGATTGGCCTAGACTGAGTCAGTCTGTGGGTGAGGCTCCAGTTCAGTGTGTGGAACTGGGGAGCATGCGGAAGTGGGGAATGTGAGGAAGGAAAGCCTTGCAGAGCAAGCAACTCCCAGGGCCGTCAAGAGCCAGCTCTGAGACTGGAGAGGATGAGGTCTTCTTGGCTGTCTTCAGGGTGGGGGCTTGGGAAGGGCCCCGAGCAGCCTTGTTTCTGGTGCGATGGCCTGCTGCTTCCAGGTTGGCTTGCTTATGTAATCGAGAACGGCAGCCTATCTGTCACCCCATGGCCTGAGATGAGAGAGCTTTTGACAGTGTCCAAAAATCCCTTTAACGAAAACAGAATCGATTTTTACTTCTTCCAAGCATGAAGCAGTCTCCAGGTGATTTGCATTTCCCTTTAAAACATAATCCTGGAAGGGGCCTGCCTGAGGTTTTGTGAGACTGGGAGCCAGGCCTGGACAATCAATACAGGCACATCACAGAACGGGGTGCTTGACCAGGTTTACCCCCCACCCAGTGCAAGAAGTAGAGCCAGTCTGAGACCTGGTTAACCCTTCAGTCCCCCAAATTCCAGCTGCATCTTCATCCCCTGCCTCTGGGGCCCAGCAGCCCTCCTCCCAACTCCCAAGTGCCTTGTCCCAGGACACTAGCCAGCTGTGCCTACCTGGAGGGTGGTGTGTCCCTGCCCAGGGCAATCTGGTCATAGCCGCATTTATGGGGAATGAATGACTGCAGATCTTTTCTTGGTTTGACACTTCTTTTTTTTTTCTTAATTTTTTATTTCTTTTCAGTGTAACAGTATTCATTGTTTTTGCACCACACCCAGGGCTCCATGCAATCCGTGCCCTCCCTAATACCCACCACCTGGTTCGCCCAACCTCCCACCCCCCCGCCCCTTCAAAACCAACAGTTCTCTGATGCTGCAATTCCCAAGAGAAAACACAGATCCACATCCCAACAAGGAATCTTGCATTCATTCAACATTTATTGAGTGCCTGCTGTGTGCCAGGCCCTGCAAATACAAAGCACCATGATTGCACATCAGCCCAGCATAAGGTCCAGGCAGAATGAATTGAATGAGACCCACTTCTCTTCCTTTGGACTAAAACAAGAGATGGAGGAAAGAGCAGTAGACCGAGGGTCCGAA